GGGGGGGCGATCACATTCACAGCCTCTCGATGTCGCGGTACTTCTTGCGCAGCATGGAGACCTGGTCCCGGAAGAGCAGCGGGTCCAGTCTCATCTGCGAGTGTAGCAACGGCATGAAGCCCAGCCAGCGACTGAAGGCGTTCACGCACGTCTGACGCTCGGCAAAGTGGTCCGGGTCGGCCCACCGGGACGCCTTGGAGCCCTTTGGGGGCGGACCCAAAAAGACGGCGTAAGTCTCTAGCTGTAGTTCTAGTTCAGGTTTGGCTCATAGTTGCTGTGTAGATTTAGCTTTGGTTTTAGTTTTTTTTATTATTCTGGTCATACTCATCATACCCACAAAACATTCATTTCAATGCCTGGCGGAACTCACGCCGCTCCTCTGAATTTCGTGTATTTGTTAAAAAATGATATGAATGAAGTCAAGTAAATGTAAATTGGCCGGCGGCTCATTAAAGCCATTAATTACTCGGTACATTCTGCTGAGTCATCACAAACCGCCTGTGCTCAACACATCAATCATCGTGCGACCCCAAAAAGTGTTTTTCGCAATGATTAAAACCATACTGCATTGTTATTGCTTCTGCAAGAAAAGGAAGTAGTGACTGAAATGGGTAATAACCCTGATGACATCATAATGACATCGTCCCCATTCGTGCTGTCCACAGGGCATACGTTGTAAAACGTTGTCGTAATCCCCGCCGAGAGCGATACCAAAAGATATTTTATTTTTAGGAGTGCGGAGAATAATGTTGGCCGTTTGTGCGCTTACGTTGGGGAGACTGCTTGGTGTTCGAAAGAAATCATATGTTTCAAAATTTGCTGCCCATGATGAGCGTGTTGGAAAAGATGAATGGCGACGCTGGATTCCCTAACAGCGCTCATCAAACATGAAGACAGGAAATACTTTCAATTATTTCCTCTTTTATCATTGTCATGCTGCTCGTGTCATCATCCCTCGGGCTTGTCATAATAATAAAATAATTAACGCTTCAAGAACTGACGAACGGTCCCCGGAAATGGCAAAAGTGTCGCAGATGATCCGAAAATGGCCGCCGCAAAGCCAAATGGCAGACTTGCTTGTGTCTTTTCTTTTGTGGGTTGCGAATTTTGCCCTTACTTGGCTCATCATGGTCTCCTTGTACTGCTTCTTCTGCGTCACCTTGACGGGCGCTTGCTTGGTGACGGCCGATACCAGGAAGTTCATCAGGATGTCCTCGCAGTTGGCCATACGGTCCACCATGCTCAGCAGGCTGCTGGGCACGTAGCTGCTGAACAGGTAGTGGTAGTACCTGATCGGGGGCGCCGATGCTACTTATTAGCATCATCATGGATGTCTTTTTCAGAACGACGGTTGTGATATTATCCGGCCTCGTACCTGTGGTAGAAGGCGGCCCCGGTGAGCACCATAGAGTAGTCGTTGGTCCATTTGGACGTGTAGGCCCAGCAGGAGCGCGAGCCGTCCCAGTAGTGGCTCCGGGCGGGATAACCTACAATACGCTCCGGAAAGGTTTGCCACACGATGAAGGCGAAATCCACCTGGAGGAGGGAAATACATTTTCACATTGAGGAAAGCACGACGGCGTCTTGCTCGTATGCCAATTAGCGGCACCGGCAACATAAATGTCAATGTTGATGATACTTTGGGGAGGGTGGGGCGAACACTAATACACTCGTTATACACCCATTGGACACTTTTAGGTACCATTAAGTACTCCCGGACTATTTATTGAGGTCCGGGAGAGTATCGTTTACCAGCCTACATGCTAGCTCTAGCAACTAATTGTGTTTTTCATCTACGATGAGGACAGAAACAAGATGTCCACATCGTGCTCACTGACATGCGCGTTAGGATCGTGAAGATTTCCACATTCCGTTTGCTATTTTACACTGCACCAGCTGTCCTCTACAAAACTTGTGCCACCACCCCCCTGAAAAAAAAGACGCGATCAGCAGCCCAAGAGCCCAAAAAAAAAAGGGAATCAATAACTGCTTTGACACTATTTTCCTAGCCTAAAGGCCAAGACATCATTTTGTCACCTATGCCTTTCAGGCAAAAATCACAGAGTAACATTGGCATTGACCTCACAACAAGAAGCAGTTTGGCAGAGAGTAAATAATTCATCAGCAATGCGCCTTCAAGTGGTTCAACGAAAGCGCCCAGTTGCAGTTTACTGTCAAACCAAACATACAACATGTAGAATCATATTAACAGAATTACACGTTTGCCTTGCGCTAGCTAAATGCTAACACACAATTTAAAACGCCACAGACAGGTTAACAAATAACATTGTCAGCCATGGTGTTATAAAAGATTATTCAACACAAATGGTGCAGCAACCCACGTAGACAGAAAATAGCAATATATGCGTTATCCTCCGCACCTAATAAGGCAGCTTCGTGAGTCACTTACAGTAGATTTGCAAAACTTTGCTTGTGTCTACATGATCGGATCATACCAAAAGCTGTAATGAATGAATTAATTTTCATGAGACAGTCTATGGCAATTGTTATTATATGTTAGCATTAAGCTAGCAGATTTTCATTAGATGACATTATATGGTTTAGTTGGTTATTTCGGTGTTTCGATACTGTATGTGTCAGTTTTACAGTAAATTTCCACAGGGGGTAACAGAGATGGCCAGTGTGAAATGCTGTTAAAAAAAAAAAAAAAAGAGCGCTAAAATTGAATCATCTCCTGCCATCTGTACGCTGAGCAGACAATCGAAAAGGTTGCGGCTGCCACGGCGGTGATTGAGACGCGTGCGTGCCGTGTAATAATTAATAAGGTGCTGCACTTTTAATCACGTCGCTATCCGAGATGAAAACGTTTCCGATAATGCCACTTGGCACGTGTGACTTCACCACCGCGGTGCACGCTTGCCACTCCTCGTCCGTCCGTCTCCATTAACGACAGGTGTGATGTGGCGGAAGTGCTGAAGGATGACATTCGGAAAACTGTGTGTGTGTGTGTGTGTGTGTGTGTGTGTGTGTGTGTGTGTGTGTGTGTGTGTGAGGGAGAGATAAGACACTAATACATTGATTCCCAGCCACTGTGCAGCGAGGTGTGCCAACAGGAATGATCCCATTTCACCTAATTGTTCTGAAAATGATCACTTGTTTACGGCTAATAAATTCAATAAATACAGCCGTCGTCCTCTATCTATGCCAGCGACGATTAGTCACAACCGGAAAAATGACGTCTTCTTCCAGTCGATGGCAGTATATACAGTCATCCATCCATCCATCCATGAACAAACAAAATGGTTGCTATTGATACGACCGGGATTGAAATGCACCCCAAAAAAATGTCGGTAACCATTTATTAATGGCACAAGATGATGGCGGCACGGTGTGCAACTGGTTAGCACGTCCGCCTCATAGTGCAGAGGTCCAGGGTTCGATTCTGGCTCCGACCTTTCTGTATGCAGTTTGCATGTTCTCCCTGGGCCTGCGTGGGTTTTCTCCGGGTACTCTGGTTTCCTCCCACATTCCAAAAACATGCATGGCAGGTTAACGGAACACACGAAATTGTCCTGAGGTGTGAGTGTGAGCGCGGGTGGTTCTTTGTCTATGTGTGCCCTGTGATTGGTTGGCAACCGGTTCGGGGTGTACCCCGCCTAAAACAGCTAGAATAGGCTCTAGCATGACCCTTGTGAGGACAAGTGGATCAGAAAATGGATGGATGGATGGCACAAGATGGCGCCAAAGCACTTATTTTGATTGGACAAGACTATGGCCTCACTTAAGCTTACTGGCACCAAGATGGGATCAAAGCAAAATTTTGATCTTCAAAACTTTGACCTGCAAATTGGTTTTTCAGCAAATAACATGAAAAAAAAATGGTGAAAAAAAAAATCTCAAGTTAGCTCTATTTTTTTTTAACCACAATACCAATGTCTGACTGCATTTCTGATTAATTTGAATGTTATCTTCATTGACAAATATTTTTTTTTCCATTTGAAAAATGTTCCACTGTAGAATCTGTGCCTTGGCTCTGTCAATGTTTGGAAACGCTGCGCTAACAAATGCTGGCAAGGCCAACCCGGATGCAGAGATTCAATACGGCCAGCGTATTGACTGTATATCTCTTGTGGCTTTAAAGGTGTCACATAAAAAGGAGTTATGTCACGGTTCATACGTGCAAAGCTGAAGGCGAGCACATATTATCAACGAGCCTCATTTATGCTCCCCAGCTGCATGAAAGTACGTCACCGCCTTTGTGCTTGCGTTCACTTATTCCGTTGTGCCACTGTCAAGGCACCTATGGATAAATATTCACACTCTATATGGACAATTTAGAGTCTTCACCCGAAGCTAATGTCAATTGAAAATACGCGCAGGCGTGTATTCTTTATCCTCTGCAAAGACACTGTTCCAAAAACTAAAATCCCCACACGAGACACCTTTTGAAAATGTCCCGTTGCATGCCCAGCACCTACGCCAGTCATGAGACAAAGTCATCATGAGAAAGTTGCGTCCAAAAATAGCAAAGTTTTATTATTCAAATGGGCTTGATTATCAAGTGGCCCGGCCGCGCGTGATTCCATTCCGCTCGGCGTATTTCATCTCCTTTTCGCCCAAATCCCTGCACGCCGCCTTAAAAGGCCAATTAGGGCGACGGCTTATCGAGCGCAACTGAGATTCTCTCCGCGTCTTTCCTCCTCATCCTCCCATCTTCCTCGTCCTCCATAAAACAAGCCGGTCGGCAGCGCATAAAAGTTTAGCCGGCCGGTCGGGATTGTTTAGCCGCGCCGCCAAGTGTAATTGTCTCGCCATTAGCGTGGAAGAGGTGAACATTGACTCGTGACGATCAATAAAAACTATTTGCCAGTTTAAAGACATGTCGCGTACGTCGGGCTTGTGCACGTTCCATTATGGATGGCTTGGTTTACTCGGTTCTCCTAATGAATCTCCAAGTGACAAAGATTTAATTTGAATTTGAATATGCAATGCTTTTTTTGGGTTTGTTTTATTTTTTTTTCCTGCAGCTAAAATGCTTTAGCGGTCTGTAATAAGACAATTTGTCAAAATCTCAGCTCAATCAAACACAAAATTCGGTGTTAAAGAGCCCCGAAAGAAAACAACAACAACAAAAACCTCATATTGAGTTATTTGTAGCCGTGCAATTTTGAAGGTGTCATTTGTTTTTTACTTTTCAGTTCCAAAAAGGTTGACTTTTCCCCTTACTAAGGAAATTGCAAGAAAGAATGTAATAATAGTGTTAAACGATTAGTCCAAACAATATCCCCCACCCAAACATTTTTTTTAAATTTGTGAGATTAACACAAAAAAAAAAATCAACCCAAAAAAAAAAACTAAACAACTAACTAAATATATATCAATTACAAACAGAATAGAAGCGGACCAAATCATGATTTCATGAAGTATGGTGGCGAATGTGAAGTGGTGAGAGTCGGCATGAAATCAACATAACTCATGTTTGCACTCGTGGCGCTTTGCTCCGTTTTCACTTGCGCTTCATTCCCATTCCGAGCAACGTATTTGGAAAGGTCCTTTGGAGCCCCCCCCCCCCACACACACACACACACCCCACGCACCCCTGGCTCAGCAGTCAGCACACTGCTTGCTCGTGGGTAATGAATAGCGTTCATGCATGCACATGGACTTGACTGCCTCATTTCACCGGCGATCGATAACTCTTATGCTGCCACTGGCTCGCGTCGAAACAACGAACCAACTTTCAAAGTGTATTTTCAAGCAGACAATTTATCAATTAGTGATTCTCAGCGTGGGACAAAGTCTCACTAGTCTTACGCAATCGCACACAAAAAAATCACTGCCAAAGCACAGTTCAGCTGTATTTAACTTTAAAGTCAATATATTTGCATTTCGTCTGTAAAAATTTCGACTTGAATATCATTTTAACTGAACTAAAAACTCTTATCTGACAGAGATGTCAAATACGGGTCCGGAAGGTCAACCCCGGCGCAATTTGTCTTTAGCCACAGGTGTTTCTATTCAAAGGCTGCCGGTTGAGTAGAAGTACAGTGTGGCGAATATTTGGGAAATATGAAATATAAAAACAATATAATATAATATAATGTATTAAAACATATGAGCAAAAGAGTTTGACTCACCTCATTAGTGGAGAGAACTGAGTCTTCATCCAGACTGAGGATGGCGTCGGTGATGATGACATCGTGCGGGTAAAAACGACTACTCATCGCCTACACAGAATAGAAAAGATATTTTGAGAGGGGTTTTTTATTTTTTATTTTTTTTGTGTCGGAGATTTATTACATATTTTTTGGGTGGTTAACAAAAAGCCTTCAGGCCGAGTAAACAAACGGAGCAAAATGTGTTTATTCCGGCTGCAGCGTGTCCATTGATCACACGGCCAACTTAATATTTTATTTTATTTTATTTTTTTTATGCCTTTGTGTGTTTTTTTATTTTTATTTTTTTTTTTTTATGCTAGCCGTGGTCAATTTTGACCTAGCAAAGCGCGGAGGGCCAGGATCCATTAGCTGCTGACGATCTTATTGACTTATAATTAAAGTGTGAATTATTTAAGTGCTCGCAAAAGACCCGCAGCTGCACGGCGCATCGACTTCATCGGGAATAAAAAACATCCACGCTGGGATTAGAGGTTGAACGCAACATGATCAAACCTTTCAGTCATGACATACTCATCATATTTCACATTTATGGATCTTTTAACGTGGCGGTGTCCATATATTAGCTAAGAATAAACTTGTTCCACTTAGTCTGTACTTATTAGTCCTTTCTCTCTGACTTGGGTTTCCCGCACGGCTGTACCGCCAATGGGTGTCTTTGAAACATTGGACGGAATAAACGTCAATCATTACAGCAGCACGTAAAAATAGTCCAAATATTGGTCCCGGTAAGTATTTGAGTTTTGCTCATCGAGTGTGCGCGGAGCATGGCGGTGAAATTTGATGACTCGCACTAAAACAGGAAAGTCGAATAAATTAGTCATCTCCACAAGGTCAAAACTTGACCAAAACGTCTTATGTGTAATCAATGTCCCCATTCAGTTGAATTATCATGACCTCAAAGCATCATATCATATTTAACGTTAGCCCTGTGGTGCTCGCATTTGAAATCAATTGGCTGAAGGCAGCAGAATTCCAGCCCTACTCCTGCGCCCCCCACCTCCGGCCAGTGTCAATGCCTCAACGCCTTTGGTCCAAGATTAGATTCCACCGAGATTTGGGCCAGTTCAATGGTCTCCAACCTTATCTTAGCCCCGCTCGCCTGGCGGCCATTAACTCGCTCGCCATACGCGCCCACCGCTGCGACTCTGAAGGTGTTTTTTTTTTTTTCCCTGAACGCCACGCCGCGTAGTCGCTATTAAATTCAAGAATCCAAAGACCACACACAGTTATCTGCAGTCTCATTATAAAGCTATACAGATGTATATATACATACATCTATACGCAGTCCAATAGCCATTGCGAGCACTTTGAGCAAAGGATACACACAACCGCTGCAGCAACACATTTTTTTTATGACAATATAACATGAGTCACTGTCATATCTTCTTTATCTTCTGTGAAGATAGCTCGATAATATTAATGCCGCACTGATGAGATGAGAGGAGTCGAACCATCTCAATGAGCATCATAATCTCCATGAACCACTTTTTGCCATTTTAAATATGTTAACATTCATCCCCGCCCACTACTTGATTTTTTCCGCCTTTCGTGCTCCCTGAGCACATCATTTTCTGGCACGCCGAAGGAGGCAGGATGGATGCTTGAGAGGGAGCCGTACGTAAAAGTCAAGCTCGTGGACGCAGACGTGCCGAGTTGAGCTGTGATTGATGACGCTGAAATATGTCCGCCCCGCACCGCTTCGGCTGATAATATTGATGTGGTGGGCTAAAGCGCTTGCTCGGCATGTTCAACCTGACTCGATATGATTTAGCGTTTGTATCCCTGGCGGGTGGGAAGGTGAGGGTCATGTTGTGCTTACTCAGGCTGGACGGAAAACAGACGAGACGCTCGATATGGAATTTGCTGGAAATATGCAACAAGCTGCCACCCCGTCACAGCTTTCTTTTAGGATCAACGTATTTATGGTCACCGGTAATGTATGAACCTATTCTATATTTGTTATCATACAGATAATGGTTCTCAACCTGGGGTCCCTGGGGTTCATGTGCCGTCGCTTGGGGTCTGCAAAGTAATTAGCAATAATTAATGGCCAAATTTGTCACTAAGTTGACCAACACCTTTATTTTTTTCCCTCCACTGAAATATATGTAAGGGGAGATTGAGAGAGAGAGAGAGAGAGAGAGAGAGAGAGAGAGATTTCGTGACGTATTTCCGGTCTCGGGCGCACAAATCTTTATTCATTGACTCTCATAAGAAGTTTTAAAAGTGCAGTAGCTCCCCTTCAAATGCAATATATAGGACCAAGGTGGGGCACTCCATTTCAGTCGCATCTGCTCTTAGCATGGCACGCTTTGACAAGTTTCTCATCGCTGAGGTGTTCGTGGCTACACATAGTAGTTACGTTGAATCGATGGTAGGATTCTGCCTTGTGAATTTCTCCCCTGGACTGAAAAAAAGGTTTGGAGGAGCCGTGCCATCGAAAAATAGTGTCACCTTGCTCTGTCCTTGGATGACGGTGAGAGGCACACTGGTGGAGGGCCACTTGTTCCTGGGAGGTAAGGGCTTGTCGCTGTTCCATAAAACCACAATCTACAGTATCCAAAAAATATTTTTTTAAGTGAATGCTGTACTAGATCTGTCTCATATATGCATTTCATTATTCATGCACAATGTCAGAGCATAATGATACTTTTCCATATGATACTTAAACTACACCTTATCTATGTCATACTATTTCTTGCATTCCACTTGTAAACTTACATTGCATACACTTTAAACCTGTTCTTTACTACACTGTATATTATACTTTCCCCATATTATATCTGGACTACAGCACATCGTCCAAAATGTGTGTACTTATCAGTGTGTGGATAAATGACATAGACAAACGACAGAGCGGCCAGCCACCCACCTGCGCACAGAACTTGGACTTGGCCACAGCGATGATGAGCTTCACCACGGGAGACGGGTGCGACTGCAGCGGACTCACCGTATGGATCACGCCGGTGAACTGCGGCGGGGGGCTCTTCCCTATACGCGTATAAATGATTGAGCCAATAATTTTAGCCATTTGAAGAACAAAAACGTGCATCTGCAAATTGGTTTGACTGATGTCTATGTTTGAATTTTTACAATGCATAAACATTTTTTTAGAATAGACATTCAATAAAAATGTTTTAATTTTCACCATTTTAGGGGAAAATTAAATGCAACAGATATTACAGGATTCTTAATAAATGCTTAGTGGGGTGGATAGTGTGTGTGAATGTGTGTGTGTTGAAGCTGCCATCTGTCTTTCTGACACACACGCGCACACACTTTCTGCTCGCATGAGCACGCTTGTTAAATCCTCCACTGAACTGGTCAGGTTTTGATGCCCTCCGTTGGCGCTGCCAATCAGCGCCAATAACCCAAAAGTGTCCCGTTTGGGAGCAGACCCAAAATGAGCGGAGCCAAACTTGAAGCGAGCGCGCTTAATGAATGAGCCGCGATATCCGGTGCGATGGCTAAATGTACTCAAGGAATTGAGGGTGAGAAAAAATGTTTTTGGCATACATTTGCAAAATCTGGATGTCATCAGTCTCCAGTGTGTAGCAAAAACCAAGAAAATTAAGTTGACTCAACACTAAATTTCAAGTCAAGACAAGTCATAACTCGAGTCTGCTGGAATGGTCGCTTTAGAGTCCCTCGTTGTTGGCCATTAATGTCAAGGGTGACAAAGGCGGAAGAGACTGGAGGGGAAAAGAAGGTGGCGGGGACACTTGATTAACAGCGTGTACCAGGGCTCCTTACTGGTGTGTCCGCTTTACAGTGCCTTGTTGTTGGCCACGAGTGCACGCAGAGAAAGGTGGAAGAGTGAACCAAGAAAATTAAGTTGACTCAACACTAAATTTCAGGTCAAGACAAGTCATAACTCGAGTCTGCTAGAATGGCCGCTTTAGAGTGCCTCGTTGTTGGCCATTAATGTCAAGGGTGACAAAGGCGGAAGAGACTGGAGGGGAAAAGAAGGTGGCGGGGACACTTGATTAACAGCGTGTACCAGGGCTCCTTACTGGTGTGTCCGCTTTACAGTGCCTTGTTGTTGGCCACGAGTGCACGCAGAGAAAGGTGGAAGAGTGAGGAGGGATGTAAAAAAAAATAAGTCTGACTTGACAGCCAATATGTGGACTAGGGCACTGATGTGGCAACTTTAGAGTGCCTCAATGTCAGCCATGAGTATGTGCGCAGCCCAGAGAGAAGGCCAAGGGTGACAAAGGCGGAAGAGACTGGAGGGGAAAAGAAGGTGGAGGGGACACTTGATTGACAGCGTGTACCAGGGCTCCTTACTGGTGTGTCCGTTTTACAGTGCCTTGTTGTTGGCCACGAGTGCATGCAGAGAAAGGTGGAAGAGTGAGGAGGGATGTAAAAATAAATAAGTCTGACTTGACAGCCAATGTGTGGACTGGGGCACTGACGTGGCAACTTTAGAGTGCCTCAATGTCAGCCACGAGTATGTGCGCAGCCCAGAGAGAAGGTGGAAGAGCGAGGGGGAAAAACAAGTCTGACGTGACAGTGGCCATGATGTCGTGACACGAGTCCTGCACCTCTGGGGAAAATCTGCTAACCATCAAACCCCCCGCAATCTAATATAGATGCATATTTCTGGACTGAAGGGGGTGCAAGAGAGCCAGCACAGGAGCTCGTGCAGGGCACATGGTGCGCCAGGTGTTAGCGCGCCTGTTTGGGAATACTTGCATCCTAACAGAAAAGTAGAACTGGAGTGCTCTTTAGTGCTGCTCTATCCATTTCTCTGACACTGACTGGATCTCAGGTGGGCTTCGATATATTTATGGAAACGCCTGCTCTGCCCTGTGCTTTGCTCTGAAACACGAAGGTGGGTTGGGGGTAAGAGCAGAATTAGGCATGATCTTGCTTATCTGTGCTAACGGCTAAAACATGGAAACGTAATAAGTAAAAAAAAAAGAGCATTTTCTGACATCATCGATGAAAACAAGTGCCTCCCTTTTGTGGGCCTTACAATGCAACCTGGAAAGTTAGAATAAATAAAACCCCTATAATGTTCAACACCACCCTTTTCTCCTCACCTAGCATGGCGTAGTAAAAGGGGAAGCGTGCGGGGTCGGTGGAGTACTGTGGGAGTGCATAGAGGCCACCAGGCAGGGAGTTCCACATCAGACGGTTTCGGGAGACGACAGAGTCCACACGGTCTCGGATTATCTGGACGGGCGGGGGATGAACAAAATGAAAATGGAATGTCACGTTATTACACAAGATACACCCCAAAAAAAAAAATTTTAAGGTGGAACCTTGCACTCTCTGCAGGTCGTTTATATATGTTGAGATACAACTTGAGATCCAACAAACGCAGACGACGGCCCCCGCGAATGCCAAAGTGAAGCTGCTCTATCTGTCATGAAGCTCAAGACAGACAGTAGATAATTGAAGTCCTTCAACGGAGGCAGGGGGTGTGGGGGGGCGGCAGTGCTCGCTCCCAAACATGAGGAATCCATTAGCTGTTTAGTCCGTTGTGTCCGTTGGCCATGTTTACAAAGGTCAACCGCGTTGGCGGTTGTGATGCTAGTCAACCCTTTGGGGGGACTCCAAGAACCTGACATTGCTCGGCTAAGGACCGCAAAATAACATTTGACATGTTTTGCAAACTCTGTGACCACTCGGCTTGCATTCAAAAACAATTAAAAAAACAAAAATCATCCAAAGTTATTTATATGCTAACATGGTTTTTTTTTTGTTCACTTGCCTGTGTTAAAGTAACGCAAGGAAAAAAAAAATCTTTTGAAAGCATCGCAAACGCGCGCTCCTACCTATTATGTCCGTCTCATCACGATCTCGTCGACAAGCAAATGATGAGAGTGACACGCTCACAGCAGCAAAATTAGTTTCTACATATATACATCAACACATATCCAGGCCTCGTAACGCAAATGAATCATACGTTGTAGCAAATCAACCCCGAGTATTGGCTGCGATGGAAGCTTGGTCTGTTATTATGGTCTGAGGCTTGAATGAACACAACTAGAAACTAGACAATGACAACAACTGCGATTTTTATACATTCGCCTGTGGAAGTTGCAAAGCTTTCTTTTCTAGAAAACGTCCACCCACACTGAAAATGGAATGTCACGTTATTACACAAGATACACCCCAAAAAAAAAAATTTTAAGGTGGAACCTTGCACTCTCTGCAGGTCGTTTATATATGTTGAGATACAACTTGAGATCCAACAAACGCAGACGACGGCCCCCGCGAATGCCAAAGTGAAGCTGCTCTATCTGTCATGAAGCTCAAGACAGACAGTAGATAATTGAAGTCCTTCAACGGAGGCAGGGGGTGTGGGGGGGCGGCAGTGCTCGCTCCCAAACATGAGGAATCCATTAGCTGTTTAGTCCGTTGTGTCCGTTGGCCATGTTTACAAAGGTCAACCGCGTTGGCGGTTGTGATGCTAGTCAACCCTTTGGGGGGACTCCAAGAACCTGACATTGCTCGGCTAAGGACCGCAAAATAACATTTGACATGTTTTGCAAACTCTGTGACCACTCGGCTTGCATTCAAAAACAATTAAAAAAACAAAAATCATCCAAAGTTATTTATATGCTAACATGGTTTTTTTTTTGTTCACTTGCCTGTGTTAAAGTAACGCAAGGAAAAAAAAAAATCTTTTGAAAGCATCGCAAACGCGCGCTCCTACCTATTATGTCCGTCTCATCACGATCTCGTCGACAAGCAAATGATGAGAGTGACACGCTCACAGCAGCAAAATTAGTTTCTACATATATACATCAACACATATCCAGGCCTCGTAACGCAAATGAATCATACGTTGTAGCAAATCAACCCCGAGTATTGGCTGCGATGGAAGCTTGGTCTGTTATTATGGTCTGAGGCTTGAATGAACACAACTAGAAACTAGACAATGACAACAACTGCGATTTTTATACATTCGCCTGTGGAAGTTGCAAAGCTTTCTTTTCTAGAAAACGTCCACCCACACGAAAACCTTGACTCTTGCCTCTCTCTCTCTCTCTCTCTCTCTCTCTCTCTCTCTCTCTCTCTCTCTCTCTCTTTCTCTCTCTCTTTCCGGACGGACTCACGGAGGCCCGCCGGCAAACGCAACGCTGCCTCACACTTATTAGGACCTTGCGTTTGCTCGTGCAAGCGTTACACTTAAAACTGGACAGGGACTAAAAATGGGTTGTGCTTATTCTTTGACATGTCATTAAAAAAAAAAAGTCAATTGAAGGCCAGTTATGGGAATGTAGACTTTCTTTGTTTTGGTTCTATACATAATATATTCTAAATAAGATGTATGCTAACTTTTTAAATTACTGTAATGCTGACAAAGCTTACAAAATCTGCATTCTTTTTTTTAAGGCAAATACAAAAAAAAAAAAAAAAAAAGGAACATCTCAGCCATATGTTCTGATGAAACACATTCAATGGAATGGTGTTGTGGTATGAAGCCGAATTTTGTGATGAATTACAATGAAAGTTACAGAAAATGTTGAGCTCGAGTGCTCAAGGGGCAGTCAAGTAACTTTGCGCATATCACAAAGTTTAAAAACTGTATTTCATTACGTTATATAAGCACGAATAATTTGTTGTGGAAGTTTATCGGAGAGGTGAAGCAGAGCCAGCGGTCATGCAACTGTGTGGTGGATTGAATACAAGTTTTCTGACAAAAGTGAAGAGGTGAACGTTTAGTACCTCCAGAGTGGTGAGGACAATTTTGGCTACCGAGGAGAAGTAGGCGTCCCACAGGAACTGACTCTGCTGGCGCAGAACCAGGATCCTGTCACGGCCTACCGAGCGAGTCATGGACGGAACCTGCAGGATGGACCAAGATGAAATTGTTACGGATAAAATTCGAACCCCAGGTCCTCACTACTGCGAGGCAGGCATGCCAACCACTAGCACAATGTGCCATCCTTTCTTGGAGAGAAAGCAACATTTGATTGTCGACAATACAAGCAACTATTTTCTTCCCGTCTAATGACTGCCGTTGGTGTGTGTTTGTGTGTGTGCGGGGGCAGCAGCTGCCCCTCGACGTACTCAACAGTCAAGTAATGATGTAATTGAAGATAATGACTTTTAAATTTCTCAGCGGGCTACCAAGGTGTGAGCAGTGTGTGTTACGAGTGCATAATATTAGCACAATGCAAATATATTCACGCATCTTCTCAGGCCCGTGAGGAGGGGTAGGTGCAAGGGGTCTTCAAGATCAAAGCACCCTGCACCATAATTAAGTGCAATATGATTCCAAAACAAATAAGGTTCATGCTTTGGTCCAGATCGACAGTCCCAGGTGACGTCTGGTGAGACAAGTCGGCTGCGCCCTAAACTCATCGCTAGTCAATCGCAGGGCAAGTGCTGTGTTGATAAGCAAGCATTCACACTCATCTTCTTCAACATGCGAACTCCCACACAGAAAGGCCGGAGCCGGGATTCAAACCCAGAACCTCGGCCAGTGAGGCAGATGGGTTCACCACTAGGTAACTAAATAGTAAAACAGCTAAACACAAGATGGCCCCTTATAGGGTCCATTTTTCTTTCTGACACCTTGCAAATACCGAACCTCAAATATGTGACACATCACTGCACACATATTGGAAAAAGGAGTCTTTAGTGATCTACCTGCCGTCTCCTACACGTGCCAACAATCTCCCGGATTCTTCCATTGTTTAGAAGGTGGTCACTCTTTCCCCCCTCCGCCTTTCTCCCGACAAACAAGCAGATGGCGGGAATGAAAACGACGCCGGTGGCAGAAGTGCCGAAGCCGACGTCTTCAAGATTTACTGCCGAGTTGCCCTGCAAATTGTCTGAAAACAGCCTCGCCGTGTCCTCTTCTTGGCCCGTAAATAGCCGCCGGATTACGATAAAATGCATGTGTGCGTGTTTAATTGGCAGCAGCTGGCAGCAAAAACTGCCGCAAGATGTCGCAAGATGCCGTTGACATCACAGTCAGTCTCTCGATACAAGGAGATAACATTCAGCGGCTAATTGGCTCGCTGGCTAGCTGCGAGTTGGGTTATGATGTCGTGGAAAGAAGCTTGGTTCAAAACCAATGGGGATCATTCAAAACTCATTGCCAAAAAATTAAAAATTCATTCATTAAGATAATAATGATAATCATAATAATAATTCAGAACTTTGGAATGATTCTTCCCAGGACATCATGACCCAACTCGTAGCTAGCTAGCGAGCTAATTAGCCGCTGAATATCAGTTGAAACCAGTCATAACAAATCAAAATTAAAAGGATGCTTGATCTCTCTCTCTCTCTCTCTCTCTCTCTCTCTCTCTCTCTCTCTCTCTCTCTCACACACACACACACACACACACACACCCACACACACACACACACACACACAGGTGTGTTTTTTTTTCCCTCTTTCTCACGATGGCGGGAATGTAAGCATCAACACACTCCGCCCTGCGGTGCTAATTAAAGGCGACAGAAGGTAATCCAATTGCGGAATAATCCGTTTTAATCCGTGACAACACTTCCTGGCTGCGAATGGGACCACAATTGAGCGAGAGAGCGTCTTGGCTGTCGTCGGACTGATAAATGGAAAATTCCCAAACGTCCGCGTTTGCCATCTTGGCATTCTGCGGGACGGTGTTTGTAAAAGTAGTCGTCCAAAGTTTTTGTGAATGCAGCTCGGAATTGGAGCATTATGGTCTTTGGCGCAAGGGGATCCGGACCCAGGGGTGATGACATTTCACTCTGAATGTCAGACAGAATGTTTCCAGCACCCATGGGTGTCGTTTGGAGGGTTAGGGTTAGTTCCAATTAGTTTTCAGAGCGGTTTTAGTTTTCTTTCTGAAAAGTTTTGCTATAGTTTAGTGTATATCAGTTTAGTATTAGTTTTAGTTTTTTTAATTTTGTGTATTTGTGACACAAATACACAAATTTTGTGTGTAAGAAAAAAAAAAGAGTATCTGTGAAAGCAAGTACCTCATGCTAACTGTTAGCCGTCCTATTGTATTTTACATAGTTTGTTAGCATTATGCTAAGCGGACTTTCGTAAGGCAAAGCTCTGTAGTTGTTTTAAATACGTAATGTGTAATTGTCTTTGCTTTATGTTTAGTTTAACTTTGCGAGCGCCTTTCAAGTCATTCGCCCGACAACGTAAAAATGATTGCGACGCCGATTGATTTGACTTCTCACCTGCAGCAGCAGCCTCTCGTCGCCGAGCACGGCCGCCTTCCTCCAGTCGATGACCTCGGAGAAGGGGAGCTCCCAGCCGTTGCTCAGAATGACGGGAATGCACGCAGCCTGCCAGGAGACATGAGACAACACATACACATTTTGCTTTCTTTTTTTTTGCTCCATCAAAAGAGGAGATAATGACAATGTTCTATAAAAAGATGCGTCAAAGTTGGGGGAGTAAAAATCCCACGGGATTGATGGCAGAGAAGACGTCTGATGTAGAGGAACCGCCAGGGATCGTCGACGCTCGCTTTCATCCTCTCGAGTGGCTTCGGAGGCCATTTTGTGGAGTGATTACTGTTGTGAGGACATTTTGGGGAAATTCCCAAGATGCGTAGTCAAAAACTACTTTCCCTAATTTCCATCTGGCGTAGATTGATTGTGAGCTTTCACTAAGCCACGCCCCCAAAAAGATGGTCCAGCCAACCAGAGCCCAGCACAGAACAAATTGTATGCCCTTCCCTTTGAGGATGTTTCTACAAGGTTGTTCTCTATCTATTTTTGGGGGGGGGGGTTATTTTATTTTTTTAAAGATAAAGTGTTTTCTTCCATTTTTGTTCTGCCATCTGCACAGGAGATTGTTGCCATGCGTAGGACAAGGCGACGACTTGCCAGAAATTCCTACAACCTCTTTGCATCAGATCTCAACTCGTTTCTTTCCCCAAATGTGGATTTTAATCATGATTATGTCAGTAAACAGAGAAGAAAGAGCGCACCTGCAGCGCCTCCAGGAAGCGGAAGGAGCCGAGGCGTCGACCCCGGGGCACCAGGCAGAAGGTGGAGTTGTGCAGCAGCTCCTGGTAGTCGAACCTTCACAAACGGCAGAAGGAAACGATAATGATGTAAAATTCATATCACCGGAACTTTTTAAAGTAGCACAAAATCAGATTTTTTTGGGGGGGGGAGGGAGATTTGTTTTTGGAGTTATTTCTCTTGATGCCAAACTTAAAAACAGTTTTTCGTACCAGGAACTTTTTTTTCTTGTGGATTATATCAGCTATCACAGAGGTAATATGTGGAATGTTTTATGACAGATTAGCTAAAAAGTCCTTACAGTTGGAAAAATGTCACTTTAATCAAAAACCTGGACGTAAACAGCATGCACAATATAACACCATAGAATGAACGAGGTATTTGAGAAAAACTGTTGCTGGTTGACTCCACATACGTCAGGTCAAAAGTTGCCACCATTTAACGTCCCTTTAACTGAAAAAAAAATGATCAATCGTTCACGCCAGCCTGCTTTCTCAAAGTCACTTTTCAGCAACACATTCTGTGACTTTACATTGACTATATAGGTGTGTGTGTGTGTGTGTGTGTGTGTGTGTGTGTGTGCGTGTGTGTGTGTGTATGTGTGTGGGTGGGGGGGGGGGTGTTGTGTGTGTGTGTGTGTGTGTGTGTGTGTGTGTGTGTGTGTGTGTGCATGATCGCAGGGCTGGCCTGGGGAGATTTCAGATTGCCACCTAATCTGTCTGGGGATCAACTGTCCCCACAACCTCACCAGCAGACACCTGCATGCTTGCGTTGGTGTGTGTGTGTGTGTGTGTGTGTGTGTGTGTGTGTGTGTGTGTGTGTGTGTGCGCGTGTGTGTGTGTGTGTGTGTGTGTGTATGCGTTCATGCCGAAGAAGAAAAGCTCAAAAATAAGATGTCAGGCATCCAGCGCGTCACCCCAAGGTCGCTCTGAGGGGACACGCTGACAGACGAAAGCACCCCCACCAAAGCCCCTACGATCAAATATGTCGATTGTCTCCCACGGGTCAGTTGTGTTCGATATCAAAGTTTAATTTCCATAAACACAAGCATGGGTGGAATCATTCTCATATCGCCTCGCGTATATTAAAGGAGCCTGATTTTATTTCACGTCAATATATTGGTTGAATTTTGTTGTCACCCAAACCCTATTTTATACTTTATATTTTTTTCTATTGGTTGCACCAGGAGAGATTTGGTGGCACCCTTTTAAAATGTTTACAACAGATAAATCGTGCGGCCTTCTGTTGCCAAAATGCAGAGCGGGTCGCGAGCACCTCAGCGAGCGCAACTAAATGTGGAGCAAGCCGTCCTTTATAAAAAACAAATAGGGCTAGTTAAGTTAGATGGCCGTGATTGTGGCAAAGTATATACTTTGATATTTATTTATTTAAATTATACAGGAAGGGTTTAACTTAACACACCTTCTGTGTGCAGTCTGAAGGACAGAGAGAGTTGGAGAGCCTTTTCCTGAATGGACCGTTAGGAGCAGCATGCACTCACGCTTGTGCATGACATTTTTACCAGCACACAGTGAAAAAAATGGGGGCATTTGCGACCATTGTGGTCGCAATAAGATAAGATAAGAAAAACCTTTATTGTCTCACAACGGAGACATTTGCAATGTACAGCAGCAAAGTTTGGAGGGAAGAAGTAGAAAAAGGTAGAAAACAAGTATTTGCATGCACAAAATAATTTCAAAAATATATATATTTTTTTAAAAATGAACTGTACACAGTACAGAATGAAATATAAAAATACAAAATATCCAATGTCGAGCCCTTTGAATGTAAGACTATGTCACGTGTCTGTTTTTTTTTTGTTTTTTTTAATTTGTGATCGACTGATTAGCAGCCGGGCCAATTGTCTTAAAAAAAAAAAAAAGAAAAAAAAATGTAATTGAACATTGCGAAAGACCATTTTGTGCACTGCAAATGATTTATCAATGCTGGAAGCTTTTGACCACTTGACAGTGGTGCCTTGACATCCAACTTGAATTTTTACTGTGACCTTATATGTTGAATCACCTTTACCAATTGAAACGCCAATAATTACTGTAGTCGAAACAAAAACCCTATGTGTATGAATTCAACTGAATTTAGTTCTTTTTTTTTCCTGAATCCGTTTTGTTACCTTGCGTATTTGTTTCCAGCGCTTCCTTTCATCTGCATGTTTAATTAAAGCGCGGCGACTGCAGTCAGACTTCCAATAACGATCCCTCTAATGGCGGCATGCCGTGTAAACTATAAAACGCATCTCAAGTAATTACTGCAAACAGGAAGTGGAGACACACACACGCACGCACACACACACACACACACACACACACACACACACACAGGCACACACACTAGCAAGTTGAAGCTTTGCCCGACATGCTGTGGCTAGTAGGCCCTTCCAGGTATAATTGTTTTGTGTGTGTGTAAGTGTGTGTTGTCACACACACACACAATCATACACGAGGGGACTAAAAACAAACAGCCTCTGTTCATTAAACAGGGCTGAAAAGTTTGCTCATTTCTGCGGTTTAAAATACTTGCCAGCGAAATGGGCCCATCAAAGGAAAACATGCCGCATCAGAAAAGTAACAGCAGCAACACAAAAAAATAAAAAGTGACTTTCTACTTTGTTGTTGTTGTACATTTTCCTCTATTTTCTCAGGGGGTATAAATGAGGAAATTAGATGTGCGCTGTACTGCGTGCCATTACAACGATGTACCGTACAGTGAAGGTGCAATTTATTGATAGGCAAAGAAAGCGGAAGAGGAGAGATGAGACGGCTGATTTGTGCATGGTAAAAATTGCGGATGTAATATTTGCTTGGTCATTGTTTATAACCATCCATCCATTTTCGATACCTAAACAAAAAATAATAAAATTAAATTGAAAAAAAAGACTCACGCTACGCTGGGAATCAATCACGGATCAGAATCCATCGCAATTATTGTCCATATTTGGCTGACTAGCATGCCAAGAGTCAATGGTTGTCACGATTGATTTTTTCCAATCAATTATTTTCTGGATTACTCAGGTCAGCAGTCAATTTGAAGGTGTCTTCGCACATATTTTTGACGCTGATTTTTTTTTTTTTCCTAGCACATCAGGTTGAGTTGTTTTTATTTTAATTTTTTTTTTCAATTTGACCTATAAAAGTTTGCGCGATTCGGATTTTAACATGGGTTGTAATTTATAGCAAAGATGTGTGAGAAAAAAAAATTCCACCTGTTGCTGAACCTGACCCTTAATTCCTAAATATTACTATATATTCTAATATAATATATTATTTCATTGTTATTATGAAAACTGGATGTGCTAGAGGAGACTCAGGGGTGTCAAACTAATTTTTGTCAAGGGCCACATTGTATTTGGCATTTCCCTGGGAGGGCCATTATGACTGTGAAACCATATAAATAAGTCAAGAATAATCGTTTCTTCAACTATTTAAGTGACTGTAATGAGGGGTTTGGTAACAAGGAAATACTGACAACAGCTCTCATTTATTACATATGATCATTTTAAATTTTGGTACAGATTTTAGTGAGCATCATAGAAGTCGACATGTTTGATTTGCTCTTGCGGGCCACATAAAATGATGTGGCGGGCCAGATTTGGCCCCCGGGCCTTGAGTTTGACACCTGTGTGCTAGGTGTGCTAGAGGGGAGGGTGGGGGGGGGGGACATTAGCAGATTCAGAATCAGTGTGATAAAATCATATCGAACTTTACTTGCATGTCTGATGAAAAAAATGTCCAAATTAAGTTGACTGGTGTTATTTGATCAAATAATCGAGGAGTAATCGAATGCGTGGATGTCTGAGTGGATGCCGTGCCATGAAATCGGTGAAAGGGAAGCTTCAGGGCAAAAATTTTGTCGACTATTTTTGTGGTCGACTTTTCTGACTCTCGCCACCAGCCCTACTCGAGCGCGAGTGTCCCAATCGGCCCCAAACTTACTTTACTTTTTTTGATTCATTACTCAATCAATGCCGAAAATATTACACTAATGCTGACTTGTATCAGCATTCCGACACGTTAGCGGTCGGAACTGTTCAACTTGATGGTCTTCTGCATCATTTAATGGACGATGACTTTTGTGTCCGTGTCCTTACACGAAACAAATAAATAAAGATGTTTTCCCAACGGACTCCCACGTAAAACATCTAAAAGCTTTCCGCTGTTAACCAATCAGCTGTGAACTTTCAGGGTCAGCGTCTTCTTGACTCGCGGAGAAATCCCGTTCAAAGTGATGAACTAAAAAAAAGCTAAAAAGCAAGATTTTTCCTTTTCTTTCTTTTCCTTTTTTTTTTTTTTCCTCCCCGCTGCCTCTTTGATACACTTTGGCAGGCGTCATGTTGACATTTCCAAATCCTGGAGAGATTTTGATGCCGTTGAGCAGAGCCCCGAACACGCGGAAAGCAACAGGCGAATGATGTGAAGGAAAAAAAAAAATGTCAGAAAAATGAAAAATGTAACGAGGTGCATATTGTGGTGACGAGCGTAATTCATTATTGATGAACAGGAAACAGAGACGGCGAAAGCCGGAGGCGTCGGATCGACAGCGTCGCTCTCGTTTGGCCGCAGAGTGATGAATATCAGCCCGGCGTGCGCATTTGTCCAATGTGTGTTTGTGCGTGCGTGTCGCCGCTGGACGCATCCTTTCTGCGGGTGAGCAATGAAAGGCGAGAGACGTCATTAGTCCTGCTATTGATTTTGCCGCCCCCGTGCCTAATTGAAGCTGTTGGGCCACACATAATTGAACACGGACCTCTCCGTCACTCCCTTCTCGTTAGCGCTAAAACCGCGTTGAGGCAAAAACAAAAAACACATTTTTTTTCCCCAGGGCCAAGGCGGGGGCCATTAATAGCCACCCGAGTGAGTCTCGAGTCTGAAGGTGTCACTGTTGTGTTTCTGGACACACTTTTTTTTTGTCCTTCATTTCAAGGCCCTGTAAACAGAAATTCGGGGATTTGTTGTGAAATGCATCAAACATGTTTGATTATCATTGGTGAAAACGTGCAAAGACGAAGACAGCTATCTAGTACTCAAATGTGAAGATAGACC